GTGACATTGGATTATTTCAACCATGTAGTCAGTATACTTTAAACACTGTACTTCCAACAGTTCGGTTTGAAGCAATTGCAGCTCCGAATCCCAAGTTTCAAGTAGTTTATTACCAGGACTAGACAGTTCCCAGACAGGTCGAAAATTTCTTGGCACGTTGTCAATTCTTCTCCTCTTCGTATAAACGCGTCAGAATTCTGGGCATCTGGAATACGAAAACGAAAACCCTTACATTTTCCTTATCTCGAATCTCTTGAGATTTCCAAGGAGAAAGAAAAGAAAACCCTTAGATTTTTCTTATCTCGAATCACTTGAAAATTTCCAAGGAGAAAGAAAAGAGACGATGGTCAAGAGTAGACCGTTAGACCCTACCCCTTCCTATCACTAAATCTCACTTCTCGAGAATCATGGGGACTCTTGAAGGTCGCCAGAACTCAACGTCTAGTACTGCGAACTGTACTGAAGTTCTCTACTCAAATAACAGGAGCAGAATAGAAGCCGTTTCACATGACTATGCATGACACCAACGTAGTAGATAAACCGGGCCCAATAGGGATTGGTTGGAGCTGATGGGTGACTTGGTGAATTGATCACAACATCAATTAGCCTTGAACGACATCACTACTGTAGTCCCCAGCAAGCGCAAAGTTATTAATCATCTGAAATCCTACAACTGTACAAGTAGCTGGTCTAGAATCGTGTCTTAAGTTTGTTTTATTCTGACCTGCAATGGAAGACGGATTAGTCCATCTCGATAGAATTTTGTCACAAACGAAAGTTACTGCATGGAAATGGTTCAACAATTTCTTTCGATGGTTGAAAGGTCCTTTTGTGCTACTCTGTTTTGTTTCCGAGGAAGGGGCTTTTCCCATCAATTCCGTTAAAGATTCGACTTGTCTGAAAAGAATGACTTCTGGCTCAGAATTTATTATACAAAATCGTGGAATTCACGAAGTAGTGTCTCTTGCTAGAAGAAACAGCAAGTTAAGACCCCAGTTGTGTCCAGAATAGTCTAGTCACCTAACTGAAGCATGTGTAAATGAATCTTTAAGAACCTCATCAAAGATGTTGAGGGATTTGCAAAATTGTGATTGTCATTCTGAGACATATTGACCATCACATAGTTTTAGCGCTTTAGCCGCTTCAGTCGAATCATCATGGCAACTTTAGAATGACTGATCAGCCCAATGCTTCTCCAGTGCTTTGCTTTCAAACATGAACTGTTGATTACCCTCTTCATTTATGAGAGATACTACCTTGGCTACAACCACAGGAATCCAAAGACGGAGAGTCTTGAATAAGAGACTCGTCCGAACAAAGTCCTCTACTTTCTGCGCAACATACGAAATTAGAGAAGGCGAAGTGTATAAGGAAGACATCTGACGAATTTAATCATCTGCTGGAACTTCCCGTATCCCAAAACCTGCATGTTAACACCCCTGACATTCAAACAAGTTTTTCCCCCATTGTCCCTAATGCGCTAAACAGATTCTTTGAATCAAATCCGTTCATGTACTCAAGATTGTACGGTACTCAAGATTTGCAGCACACCGTCAGTGAAGGGGCACAAACATCAACGATGTCACGAGAAGGGATGGACATGGACAAGTAGATGCGGTGTTATTCTCCTAAACCTCAAGGACGAGCTCGTTTACCACTGCGTTGGAAGCTTTGTCTGATTCTAGGGCGAATAGGGACTTTTGGCACTCAAAATCCAGTAACGATGATGTCTAAGGGCACTGCAACCACGTAGTGATGACGATTGCTTTGAAAAGATTCCACAAATCAAGGACTCCGGCGAGTTCGGCCAAAGTGAGTTCTTTGAGGTGTCTTCTTCAGGAATCGGAATACACATTCTTGGAGAGATTTACGGAAGACTTCAAGGTTCTCCTGGAAAGCTCTTTACGGAAACCTATGAGCTGCTTCATCATCCTTCAGTATATTCGTTGTCATTCCAATTGCTTAAGTACAGCCTACCATGCTTGAAATATTGTTGAGAACTCCACGCAAAAAACACAGTAAAGAAGTAATTCTGCTATAACCCATTCTTGAGCTTTTCGTCCTCATGGAAAAGTTCGACTGTGGGACCGTACCTCTTCAAGACTAGCAATTTGAATGTTTTGCAATGTACACTCTGACCTCCATCATCAAATCCAGAAAGTTGCATGCATGGAGGAATTATTCTGATCTTACAGTTGCCACATCGTCCGAGCCTCTTTACTCTAAGTTTGGGCCGGTTGGCTTCGTTGGTCTCTAACTTAATTTCGCCCGGCGAACATGAACAGTAGACAGCAACAGGACTGTAAGAAGGGTCCGAAATCACAACGTGACTAACCTGTCTCGTGCGATGTGCATCTGCTGCCGCGATGATGCATTGGATGAGTTATTTCGATGCGACTCTGAATGGTATCGATCTAAGCAAGAAGAGATCTTGCGAAGTGGCGCGAGAAAGCGGGCGATGCGGTCGTCTGCAGTTCTTGGATATACTTAAACTGCCAGCAATACATTGACATTTAGAAACAGCCCGTCCCGATTTGTCCGCTGAATCGATTAGGAAGCTGTTTTAGTTTTGAACAAGATTACAGCTTCCTAAACGGTCTACTCTGCTATCATATCGGCTTGTATCGGGGACTCTGCGGAAACATATAGACTCTCAGGTGGACAGGACTGACAACACTCAGTAACACTGCAGGACGGGACCAATTTGTGACACACTTCTAAAACCTGTGACACGAATTGACTGAAGGGTGACATTCAGGAAACGAACCGGTTACAAGGATTCCGAATCCAAGATACCGAGTAGGATGTCCTAGTTGATATGGCACGCAATCTCTGGACAGCGAAGATGTCCTAGATTATACAAATCCACTCGAGTGAGCTGCAGGCTCAGAGCTTCTGCTAGAAGTAACTTGTGGCAGTATGCGAAGTCTCCAATTCCAACCAATGCTCTGATGCCCACATTTGTACCACTATAGTGCGAAATTTTTGCAATGCACGAACTACATTTAGGTTAGTCTGATCAAGATCAACCCCAAGACAGAAAAGCCGACAACTTCACAACCTCGAGATGAACTTCCTTGTTAAATTTGGGTTGACACGCTGACCTGGTTTGACATGCGCTTGGAGTTTCTCCGTGACTTACGATCCGGATGATAAGTGCGAGTTGTTTGAGTCCTAATCCACAGTACAGCACTATTTCCATATTCTAACCGCAGACAATCTTCTTATTCTTCTGCTTCTTCTTCCAACAATCGTGTCGCTTTATTCCAAGGAGTAAAGGCCCGAGAAACCATCGGGTAAGGACCGTGAGGCCTCGTTGGGAGCCAGCCAGGTCACCGGCCGCCGAGGGTGCACGGTGCGCCGCCTACCCGAAGAAACTTAGCGAACTCCAGAGCGCAAGACTCTCACGAGCGATTAATTAATCCATTAATTAGTTAACCAATATTTATATATATTATTGGAGACGGATGTAATAGTACAAGCATGGATGCGCAAGGTCTCGATGGTGGCTCAGAACGTGAATGTGTCGGGGGTTTGTAGTTATCGAAGGACGAAGATAACGGAGGAGGGGGGGACACTCTTGCACTATTAACGATCCACACACATTTTTTGTGATACAATGTTGCTACTAAAGTTGCGATCTTTCCGGTGGCGTAAGGCTTGTTCGTATGCTTTAGACCAGACAGCAACATGCATGTCTGCAAGTGGTTGGGACCTATCAAGTGGTCGACTCGTCCCCTGGGTTCGTGCCGTAACCTTGTGCTGTGGGAGCTCGAGCAATTGGTCGTGTTTCTCCTCCTCTCCAATTCCTCGTAGTCCCGGACCTGTTCGAACTCCGCTATCTCTGCTGGGCTCTCGCGACTCTCGTCCATGCGACGAATTCTCCTCTACCCTTACGCTCCCTCGCGATGTAAATTTTTGTCTTGATTTTGATTGGTCCTTTTCTTCTCGAAAGGCCTTCATTCAATGGCGCACCATAATAAACACGCTCTGAGAACTTTTAATGCTTCCCTTTGTGTGCTGACATTTTATTAATTTTCTGTTTTTCCCAGGTGCACACATTCAAAAAGAGAAATCCCTCCTCTAATTCGCAAAGAAATGGTGAACATCACTAGAAACTGCTCCTGTCTTTTCCGAAATGGACTCTTCGATGAGCTAGATGAAGCCAGCTGGATGTGGGCGAACGAACGGGTCTCTTCGACTGGCATAATCACTAACTACGGGAAGGCTGTCGGAGGCACACAGACGTAGTTCTCAAATCCCCTGTTAAAGTACGTCCTTACGGAAGTACGCCGAGATTCTTCCAAGAGTATGTATCACATGGATACGAACGCAGAGACCGGCGTAAATACCAGATTCCCCGAAGGAATAACACAGCGGTTAAAGGCTGGGCACACGTGGGACTTACTTTCACCTCCACGAGGAATATGACAGGATTCGCCTTTAAATGAGAAAAGATACGCCTCTAACTCCCATATTCCTTCACAAGCCGAGAGCTCGCCGGTGGCCTCGACTCGAGTTACGAGCGCGACGAAGGAGAATTTGACCGCAGGGAGTGAGAGGGAGCGCGGCGCCGAGGTCAGACGAGTAACGTCGCGGGGAGCGTCGAAAGGGAGCTCATGGAGAGGTCCCCCAGTGAGTGACACTGTGGGCGATGGATCGTTGTCTGTCTGCCTGTCTGTCGGTCGGGAAAAGCTAAAAACAGTAACTTCCAAGTGGAGGAGTGGGAAAAGCTTCCATGTTCCTGGGGGCGCTGGCTGGCTGGCGGGTCGCGTGCGCGGTGGCGGGGTCCACGGGAGCGGAGGGCCGACGACGCGCGCTGGAGTTCACTGATTGAGCGCGGGCGGGAGAGGAAAGATGGCTGGGCGCGCGGCAGAGAGAAAGAAGGAAGACGACGACGACAAGAAAGGCGGGCAGAAAGAAAGACGGAAAGAATGAAAGAAATGAGTGAATGATTTGTTTGGCAGGAGGGGCTCAGGAATGAGGAGGAGGAGGAGGAGGGGGAGGGGAGGGGAGGAGAGGGAAGGGAAGGGACGGGGGCTGTTGATGAATGCAGAAATTCGCCTGCGGCTGCTGCTGCTGCTGCCGGTGCCAGTGGCAGGGGCGAATTTAGGAGGGAGAGCGGCAGAGGGGCGGGGGCTCAAGTTGGCCAGGACGCTCGTTGGCGTTGCTGTAATTGTCTTTGTCGTTGTAATGACATTCCGTCAGTCAGACGTGAAGAGTGCTGCTCACGAAAGAGTGAAGGAGGAGTGAAAGTGATTTGACTCTGGCGTGGCGGAGGAGTGAGGCACGTGGGAAGGTGAGGACGGAGAGTCGAGACGGTCGCTTCCGACGGTGCTCGAAAGTCCTCGAAATTTCGGGGAATTGACAGTTTTAATGTTCCCCTTTTGAGGAAAGAAATCTCGCCATTTTTCACGATAAAAGTGCTCTGGCCGATTGGCTGGCTGCCTAGGAGCTACCAGTGCTGACCCACGCTTTACGGCGTAGTTCTCGTTTTGTGTCCATTCTCTCGTGTGTGGATTGCCCGAACCGTATTGATGGACGTAACGATCCTAAAAATGCCTTGTGCCATCCCGGTCGAGCCCTCAGCTCGTGGCACGTGCCACGGTCGTGATCTTGTTCATTAGCTTCTTCTCTACTGTTCCCCATGGAAGAAGAGAAGCTGCAGCTAGTTTCCCGGGAATTAGACTCTACACTCGGCGCAAGTAACTAGATAAAAATATCTGAGAGCACACCCCTCCCTCCATGGTGCCCGAATCGGCCTGTGCTCTTCGTCGTCACCTGTCATTCTTTCCTCTTTAGTAGTCAAGCTGCATGTGATGTTCTCAGCATCGAGCTCACGAGTTCACCCAGCGTCGGAGCATGTCTTTATATCTGCCTCTCCTCCATCCGACCTAGCGTGAATCCGTGACTGCCCGACCCACGATACAGTGCTCAATAAGAATAAAGAAGACCCCTCATAAGTGGGTATTTTAAGGATGGTCTGTGCAACAAACCCGGGGGACCAGCTTCGCCTACGTTGCTACAGAATTCATGAGCACTGTGCTTGCGTCGTTTAGCAGGGCCCGAGTCCTTGCAGAAATATCACCGCTCATGGGGGACTTCAGCACTTCGTCCTGTGTCAGGCTCTAAACCTCCATCAAGGTTCTCCGCGGAGCCCAGCAGGCCACCGCCGTCTTGCACCTCTTTGACCGTGGAACCGGGCCATCCAGCAAGCATCTTTGTTCAGCCTTCCATCGGAGGATTTCGAAAGACCCGGTGCATCTGCTGAGCGACTTTGTGGGGTCGTGACAGAAGTTTCTTAGGCCTGTAGTTGTCCGCCCTTCTATGTTCTCTTTCCGGAGGCCAGACTTTTTAGGACGAAGATTAATTCAAACCTCGAATATATATTTTGACCGGTGGATCTAGAATTATTGAGGGCCTACGTGACGGCCCTAAAGTGACTCGAGCGCATTTTTTAGCAACAATCTTGCGACGCAAACTCGTTGCTGTGAGCTCTGCGCTCGAGGCAGAAGCTCGTCGCGCTCGTCCGTGTCCAATAACCCGGAGCGCCTCTGGGATTTGCGGTTGGCTTCGGAAGACGTTTTGCTTCTTCCTACTCGGTGGTTGGAGCAGGCCTGTCATAAGAGAGCATTTCGAAGCTTTCTTCCTGCGTCATCTTTCATGAGGTTGCCTCAGACTGCACTGTCAGGCTCCTAAGACGCTGAGCCGAGCCCAAGCGGTGAAGCTCTCGTTCCTAGAAGTTATCAGGCCTATACGTCCCGGGGCCCGCACTGTGTTCTTCGGGATTGAGTCGCATTCTTCACTACCAGGACGATTTTAGCTGCGTCGCTTACTGATTTCTCTCAGCAAGGTACCGACCTCATGTGACTTGTGGTTCGATATGCTCATCCGAGCCTGCCATCCTACAGAGTAAACTCACAGAGAAGCTGGATGGCTTTGAGTCACAGGATCGTTAGTGAAGAGTCAGTGCAGAGATATGTCACACACGCCAGTGAAAGATGCGTGCAGGATTTGCTCGCAGCCTCTCGACCCGAACTTTACGATGATTGGAAACTTTATAGGATCAAAAGAGGTGTAGAAATATCTCGAAGATCACAGGGATCAGTGATGCTTGTCCGAGGAAGGAGTTTTGTCGACGTGCCTCCTTCACAGATTCGGAGTCTTGCCAGTGCAATTGAGACTGCTAAGGTTTGTGCCATGCAAGAACCAACGTTAATTCCTCCTTTAGTCGCTGTTTTGTAGAATCACCCTCTTGGGTTTGCTAGTAGTGCGAGCGTGACGATTCTTCGTCGTATTGACTGGCTCATAGCTTTTATTCTTGGATTTTCACTTCCCGAATTACGTTACCAACTTCTCATTCGACGTCGTCATTCTGACACAAGTGACACTGATGTTTTCTTCTCTGTGGTGCTTGTTTTTTTAATTTCGTGAACAGCAATGGGACCCTTACTTTGTGGAAGGTCAGTACCTGCGAAGTGTACAGGAGAATCTGGATCTTCTGAGATTGGTTTTCAGCGGAGGAGCCGGACCACTTTTCAGGAACAGAGAATTCATTGTTTATGAAAGAAGAGAGACCATGGATGATGGAACACAGGTACAGATCTTCCTCCGACAGATTACTAATTTGATTTCAGGTCTACCTGGAAGTGTGCTTGTTCCGATTGATGTTGCCATGACCAGAGCGTTTCCGCTTGATTTTCCAATTCAAAGCATTTTGACTGAATTGTCACCGAATTGCCACACCTGCTTTGGACATAGGTCATCGCTGTTGCTTCTCTGCCAAGGGAGCTTGCCGCTGGAATATACCCGGAAGAATCGAAGCTAGTTCGTGGGCTGCTGATGCAGTCGGGATGGGTCATTGAGCAAGTCGAACAATCTGATGCTTGCATCGTGACTTACGTGGCACAAGTGAGTCCAATTCCAGAATTGTAAAGGTTCTGATAAACACGTAAAGTTGAATTCAATTGTTATGTTCGTTTTTGACGTAAACTTCTATGACTCTCCAGGTCGATCCGGCTGGTTGGTTACCGAAGTGGTTAGTGAACATTCTCAGTGTCAAGCTGGTCCTAGTGATCGACGATCTGTACAGGCTTGCTCAGAGCTTCAAGTGAGTGCGCTGGCCCAAAATAGAAACAAAGCTAATGTTCAGTTTTCCTCTGTCGAGCATTACAATTTCGGAGGAACCTCCTCCGACTGAGCTTTGACAATTTTACGCTAAGCTTTTGCATCTCAATTCGCATTCACTTCTTATGTCCTTAATCTTCATCTGCTCATCGACAACATCTATTTCAATTAGTTGAAGAGCAATGTGTTTGATATCAATGAACGAAGATGGACGAATTCCAGGGATCCCTAGGGCTAGGTTCACTGGAACATAATTGTAAGTTGATGATCGTAATTAGTGGTTCGAGAAACGATTTTGGTATCGAACTCCAGTGTAGTTCATTACGCTGCTTCTCCTCTTTCAATTCAGACAAAAGATTTTTTGAAGCGATTAGTCAGCGTTTACTGATACTTTAGTCAATCGATCATTTGTACTTTTGAACATCTTACCATTCAATTGTAGATATACATTTTGGAGCATTTGGCCACCTTCTTTGAACTTTTCCCTCATTTTGTGGGTTCCTGACCTCCAGATTCAAGTTTCTGTTGTATAATTTTGAATCTCGGAATGAAACATATGGAATGAACATCGCGCTAGTTTCTATTTTGAAATATAGAAGTGAGGACCGTTGACCGTGCATAATCGGCCCATGTGTATATCTTCGTTTTCTGCATTAGTCTCTGGCCTGTCAAATCCAACAAGCTTCATAGACAATAGAAAGGATCATCCAAAATTTTGACTAAGATGAAGGGCTGATGACAAGCCAATGTCGTTCTGCCTACTTCTTGTTCTAAGTGATTTCTGCCGCCCCACATTTTCTAACTACCCGGTAAATTTTTCCTTTCCTGTTGAGGTTTGCACCGTTTGGCAGAGGCTACTCAGCTAAATAAAATATGAAAGGTAAGTAGCTTAGAGCAGGTGGCGACTGATCTAGGCGCTATGAATGAAACGTCATGTACTTTGTCTCTGATTTTGCTATGATAGCCTTTGCCTTCGTCAATTACTTAGCTCCACTTGGCTATGGCTCACTGGCTTCTTCCTGAGCCAGGTTGTTTGCTAGTTACACTTCAATTGTTATCGTAATGACCTTGATAGTTTACCGTTCAAAGGGACGGTACTGTTTTGACAATGAATTCTGTCATCAGAAGCAGCACCATGGAAAGTAGCGATTTTATCATATGTCCATGGATCTAGTCCAAGACACTGGTCACTGAGCCAGAGAGTCACGCAGTTCTGAGGACGTGAGTAAAATGATCGCAAAAATTGATCTTGTTTTTCCTGTGGTTTATGTAGGAACTCCCTATATAATCGTGTGAATATTAGTTAGGTGAACTGTAATATAACCACCTGTAATGTGCGTCTCTCATCGCAAATTTTAGGCACTTTCTCTGTATGTACAGATGCATGTGATGGGACGTAGTCAGAAACTTCTGTCTGAGCATACCTCTGTTGCCTTTGAGCTCCACAGAAGTGCTTGGTCACTATCGTAAGTATTGTTTGTACCGGTTGGTCACGATGTTCTTTCTTTCAGCAGATGAAATCGGATTACCTCATTCACATCTTATACAGGACTTGACTATCAATGAACATTCATCTCAAGAGTTTGCATCCCACTTCTAGATCGTTTGGAAAGATCTAGGGTACTTTACGTTCAGAGAAAATATGTCAAACAGCCCACTGTGGAGAATTTTACAATCCTTCTCGCATGAAATACAGAAGAGACTGTGTCATCTAGTTTAAAACTCGTTGTACGTTCCCCGTTCTGCCGTATACAGGTCGAAAATCAGTGGTGCAGAAAGTGAAGATAAGAAGGTTCTGATTGAAGGAGGAAATGGAATAGGTTATCAAGATATTCCACATCCTTCTTACTTCAAATTTCAAGAAGACAGGGTCCCGTCCCTCCTGAACTTGAACTCCACTCTCCGCCCTAACCTGCTCTGGTTCGAATGTCCTCAATCCGTTTTTACGGCTGACGTGATGTACTCCAGGGAGCCGATGAATGCAAATTTCGAGGGTTTCTGCAGTCGAACCCACGAACTGATTCACCTCTTGAATTTTCCTGGTAAGTGGACAATATTTGAACGAGGATGAACGTGTTTTAAAGACTCTGTCACTGGATAGTCATATAGGTTTAGGAAAGCAACCATCGTCCAAGTCCACGATCAAACTCTTGTAAAGATGTCGATGTGACGTAATCCTTCGAGCTGATCGTAGCTTGAAGCCACGCGAGAAGTCTACAGTGTTTTGGTAAATTGTTTTGCTTCTAAAGCTCTGTGTGAAGTTAAAAGTATATGCTATGGTTATAAAGGTCGTTGATTTCAGTGAGAAACTCTTTATAAATCGTTGTCTAAACAAAAAACTTAAGTCAATTTTTAAATCTGAATCAAATCATTATAATGCAGCTACCTCCCATCAAAGGTTGGAAGTATCACCATATAATATGAACTGCTTTATCATTGAGTTCAGAAGTAACCTACAACTCACTAACTTGTCAGTATGTAAAGTAACGATTTTTCAAAAATGTCCGAAGAATCCAATTTATCGAAATTTATAAATGCAGATAATATTCTGTCAATCGAGTAACACCTGAAAATTGATAGAACATTTCACTCTTAGATGTAGATTCATTTTTGAACTTACAGAAAATATCATGATTTCTAATTAGTAAATCGTCTTAATTCATGATATGATCTTTGTATAAAAATTGACATTTTTTTACCAATTTATTTCAATTTTTTTTTAAAAAACTCATCAAATCAAGTAAATAGTCATCTAAATGGTATTTTCAAGAAAAAATTCATATAAATATGCAATATAAAATTTTCCTTTCTTAAAAAAAATTTGTAATAATTTCACGCATGTAGTGTTACAAAAACGTCTTACAAGAAATCAACTTAGTGCGTAAAGAATGAAAAAATAGGTTATTTAGAGTGTGATGAGTAGAATTATTAAAGTCACTGAATTATTTTATATACGTCAAAGTACATTAAAAGCATATATGTTGTTCCAATTTAAAAAACTTGGTGGCTTTTAAAAATTAAGCCGTCCATTTATTAAATTTATTATAAATGTATTAGATTCCACTTTTTGAATTATTTTTGAATTCATTTTTCATTTCAATACGTATAATTTTACAAATTAGCACTAAATCTTCATTTTTTTTAATCTTTATAATCACCAAACACAGAATGCATCCAATGAAATAGATCTTATGTATGGATTGAATATTACTCATGTCTTTGTAAAATACACAAGGGACGGCATGTTTCATGTCATTTAAATGATAAAAAAATTATTCATAAGGGAATATAGTAAAAAAGTGAATGAAATTATTCACGTCATAAAAAAAGCGAATGATTTTTTATTTGAGAATTTTCTAGTAAATATTTATGAGTCATATTAGACTAAGTGAAACAATAACTTTTTTTTCAAATGAAGTGATTTTTGAGCAAAATGTAGATGAAAATTTGCAGTCACAATCTTATTATAAAAACTCATAATATTAATCGATATTTGGTCAATATATATGACTGATGTCTAGATTTGACATTGACATTTTTGGATAATGTTAATGAAATTTTTTTTTCAGATTGTATTTATCAAGTAGATTTAAAAAATTGGTTTTCATTATAGTAATATCTATTAAAAATAATTAAAATTTTTCTTTCCTTTTTAAATCTATTTATCAAGTTTAGAAACACTGCCAATAATATTCTAGATTTTTAAACTGGAATTGAATAATAATACAAGGAACACTTCATTTTAAAATTTTGAACACAAAACATTCTGCTTTGTTACATTTCCATATTGCAATTCTTGGTGTTGAAATTCAAAAATGCATGATATAAATATATGTTGTGAATTTGTATCATGTACATATAAATACTTGAATAGAAAAATTTATTTTTAACCATAACTAACTTCGAACGATTATGTACAAACTATGTTAAAATTCATAATAAACAGTGACATTTAAAATTGCATATCATGCATATGAATCATTCAATACAGTATATACATATGATCACAAAAACTTGACAATCGTTCATAGAAGTAAATTTAAAAAAGCACAATAAAAATTAAATGTTTAGAAGATTCACATTTTTTTTAAATTTTAAAATATCTACGTGTGTTCAGACCTACATTCTTTAAAAAATATACATCTATCATCTCACTGATTATGAACAATGAACATATTTTTAATTGATAGAAATATGTATAACAAAAACTAGATTTTATATTGAACTAATGTGTCAAATCAAAATCTCTGTAAATCAGAATATATTTTAGCTGAGCTGTTAGTGTGATTCTACAACAAAATAATAAGCATGTACCATATTAAAATTTTAACTTGATTACAAAAATGCAAAACACATTTTGAAAATTTTAAATCATGTTATTTCAAAATTTAATAAGAATATTATTATATTAATTTGGAATTTTTTAGGAATTTGATGAAATGTCACAGATTTTCTTATTGATTTTGATTGATGAATTGTATATAATTATTGAGCTAATGTTGAATGAAAGTTTTTTTAGAAATTTAAAAGCATTAAAAATTTTGATATAAATAATTCATTTGAGGATTTTGAATGAAAGTTTTTATCACTTAATTAAATAAAGAATATTCTGTATATATATTATGATTTATTCATTTATGTTAGTTTAGTTATTTTACATATACTATTAAATTTTGAAATACAACAATTTGATATATCATAATCATTGAATTCACAAGCATAAAGTTATAGTCACGCACATTGATAATCACTACGTACATATGAGATTTGCCATTTTGGCATACGTTCACAAAATAATCTCAAAAATTATTAAAAAAATCTAGAGAGTGGCAACGAGAGCTTTTGCGAATGATTTTATGTGATGTAAAGTTCTATACACCACTGAGTAATATTCAACTAATTTGTGTTAACTCATAAGAGTTTCCACGCTAGGTTACGGTGCAAGTGAATGAACTCCACAGATTGTTCTTTCAATTGAAGCTAAAAAAAACTGAATCATACTCACAATATGACGGAGTAAATTTAAGTATAGTATTGACAAAAATTTTACTTTACCTGTGACGATTATGCAAAACATGCGAAGAATCATAATTTTTTCTAAAAATTTTCAAAATAATAAATTTTACTCACGCATGAATTTATGATCAATCTTGACTAGCTCAATTTTTTCTATCAAAAATACAATTTTTGATAAAATATTGATATTGATATGTTTTATTCTAATGTACATCCCTTGATTTGCATTTTATACACAATTTTGATTGGTTTAATTTTCCTTATAAAAAGTTGCATCTTTGATAAAATGATATATAATATCAATGTGTTTCACTCTATAAACCTCACTTTGAAATCCCAACCGTATGCATGTGGACTAACAGCATACTGTCACCATCGCGTGAAGAGTTCACTCCGTGACCGTGCACTATCCACTTTTTAAATTCAACACGTGATTGATGTGAGACACTTGTCAAAGACCACAATACTTGTCCGTCAGTCCGCGGTATCATCATTAATCGCACATGCGCTAGATCACTCACGCACAATTTACGAAACGAGCTCGGTCTCAAGATCACGAAGAATCATGGCAGAGTGAAATTGTCCATCGCTGCCCTTGCCTTGCCTTGCGCTAACCTCACCTAGCCTCAAATCCGTCCCAACTGGCCATATAGCAACAATTACTTAAACAATGAGAGATTTGCTTGATGGGACCCCATCAAAAGGTAATTTGCTTGATGAGAAGTTTCAATATACCCGATGGTATCCCACGGAAGGTGTGCCGTCGCTGAGTTTTAGTAGGTGTTCTAGTACGGTATGATCTTGTAAGAATATGTAGCACCTCAGACTGTAGCACCGCTTCAGAAAGCTGATCGATCATTCTAATATATTCCCGTGACTTCCACACTCTGAGATCTCAAGTCGAATAGAATTGGATGCCCGAACCTAAACTGTTCAGAAGGTAGCGCTCGATCACCGCGATCTAGCAAGCATACAAATTGAATCTTCCTTCTCATGACTCCAGCAAGGGATTGAGCTATTTTCTCATCTTCACCATCTTACAGTCCCATTCTTACCAAGAAAGTGGTTCAGCAGGGCCAGACACTACGCAGCGATGCGAAGGGCGAAACGGAGTATCACGTGCCGAAGGTAACACAAAGTGTGATTCACGCACCGTCGTCTATTCATACTAGAACAGTGTAAGGTGGACCGTCGGTGGGGTCCCATCGGGTAAATTGAAACTTGATGGGTCTCATCAAGCAATTTACCTTTAGATGGGGTACTGTCAAGCAAATATCTCCTAAAATAATGTTGTTCAACTCAAGGAGATTGTGTTCTTATGTGTCCTTTACTGTAAAGCTTTAATTTCAAAAGCATGAGATTCGTCAAATAAGTTCAATTCATGCATTTGATTACGAAGATACGTCTTATCTTCAAAGCTCATGCGTAGTATGTAGCTTTGAAGAATATGGATATCTAGACATACCAATCAAATACTCAAACTGACGTACTCTTGATCTATGTTCTATAATTCAACTCCTTGTACAACGATCTAGTGTGGAAGGATGGTTGACATTATACAAATAAATCAAGTCATATATCTCGATTGATTGAGATGCTTATTGCTTTTGAAAGTTATATCGTTAAGCAAGCATAAGATCTACATTCTATACAAGATTTAACATGATAATATTCAAATTTTTATCCCGTACGCATGAATTTGTTGCATCAGCGAGAAAAATAGCTTTGATATATTCACTCTGGAGGAGTTCATATATTTTGATGAGCGCTTCCAACGGTTAAAGTGTCGTATCTTTAGCTATAAACTACATCCTAACTTTTCATAGTTCACTTTGATTTAACATACGACATGATTAAAGTGTAGTCTTATGACTATGCAAATATTCGACTACACATCTTGGAAATTTGTCGGATTCCAAAATCAATTGGACTTATATGCAACTTTGTTATATTATTTTAATACACAAGAATGGTGAAGAATATGCAAGCATTGCACACTGAAGATCTATCATGCAATCTTTTTACCCTGCTTTTGAACAGGTTGTGATATTTTGTAAGAAGAGATGACTCCAATGGCTTAGAATACATGGTGACTATGAGACTTGAATATCAATAGATAATGCATGTCGTCTAATCATCACACACATCACGAACTATGAAAACATTCAAATTGAGTAATTAAATGATAAAGATTGCACAAACATGTTGAGATTGCTTCATATCTCTGGTGCATTTATAGCCAAAT